TAATCAAAACAGCATAGTATTGGCATAAAAGCAGGCACATAGACCAATGGAGCAGAATAAAGAGACTAGAAGTAAACCCAAACATCTACAGCCAACTACATTTCAACAAAATTGCTAAGATAACACATTGGAGAAAGGATATTCTTTTCAATAAATGTTGCTGAGAAAATTTGGTATTCACATACAGAAGAATCAAACTATATTTCTGTATCTGATAAGTCATGAAAATCAACTCAAAATTAAAGACTTACAAATAAAGCCTGAAACTCATGAATCTTCTAGAAGAAAACATAAGAGAAGTACTTTAAAATATTGAAATTGGTAAGGATATTTTAGAGAAGACTTCAGAATCACAAAAAAGGCAAAAATGCACAAATGTCATTATATTAAGTTTTATTACATCAAAAATGAAATTACATAAAGTTACATAAAGTGAATTGATAAAGGATAAAGGTCCTCTTCACATCAAAGGAAATAATCCTAAAAGTAAAGAGATTATCTGAAACCAAACATCTGAAAAGGAATTAATATCCAGAACATATAAGGATCTCAAAATCTAAATAGCAAATAAAAACAAAATGATAACAAACACCAAACAATACAACTAGAAAATTAGCAGTAGAATTAAATAGACATTTCTCAAAAAACGACATACAAATGGCCCACAAGTATGTGTAAAAAATGCTCAACATCACTAATGATCAGGAAAATGCAAATTAAAGCTGCATTGAAATATCACCTTGCTTCCATAGAAGTGTTTTTTTTCAAAAAGTAAAAAAAAAAAGTTTGTGAGGATATGGAGAAAAGGGAACACTAGTAGAAATGTAAATTAATACAGCCATTATGGAAAACATTATGGCGGTCCTCAAAATATATATAATCACCATGTGATTCAGCAATCCTATTAATGTACATATAGTCAAAGGAAATACAATTGGAATGTCAGAGAGACATATGCACTCCATGTTTATTACAACACTCTTTATAATATCCAAGAAATGGAAATAATTTAAATGTCTAACAACTGATGGATGGATAAAGGAAATCTGGTACAGAATGCTGTTCAGCCATAAAAATGAACGAACTATTAACATTTGCAACAACATGGATAGAATTCAAAATTATGTAAAGTGAAATAAGCTGGTAATAGAAAAACAAATATTGCATGATCTCACTCATATAAGGAATATTAAAAAGCTGATCTCATGGAAGTTGAAAGTAGAATGGTACTTAACAGAGGCAAAGGAGTATGGGGGTAGGAAGAATGAGTACAGATATAGATAGGCATTTTGATTTGTTTAGCACAGTAGGGTGAGCAGAGATAACAATAATGAACTGTAATATCCAAAAAAGAAGAACCTATATTGAAAGCTTTGTCATAAGAATTATAAATATTTGAGGAAATAGACATGTTTTACCCTATTTAAACATTGTACAATATATACATATATAAAAATATCACATGTACCCCATTAACATGTCCTAGCCACTCCAATAAAAAAGGAAATAAAAAATAGGCTGTCCAAAAGAAATAAAAGTCTCTTTATTCACAAATGATATGATTTTGTAGAAAATCTCTAAGAGTTGACAAAAACCTACAACAGCTACAACAAACCTCAGGGAATTAATAAGTGGTTATAGCAAGATTTCAATATGCTTTGCTAATACATAAATATCAGTAACTCACCTACATATCAGCAATGAATAGGTAAATCTTGAAATTAAAAACACAATACCATTTACATTAGTACCCTCAACAATAATAATCTAACAGGGTATATACAAATATACATATGAATAAAACTGCAGAATTCTGATGAAAGAAATCAAAGAACAGAATAAATGGAGTGATATTCTGTGTTTATGGATAAAATGACTCAATATTATCAAGATGTCAATTCTGATTGAATTGAATTATAAATTCAATGTAATCCCAATCAAAATCCCAGCAAGTTATTTTGTGGATATCAACAAATTGATTCTGATATTTACTTGGATAGGCAAAAGATTCAAAAAGGCAATTGCTACATCGAAGAAGAAGAAAGTTGGAGAATTGACACTTCTCAACTTCAAGTTTTACTATGAAGATACAATAATGGAGACAGTGTGATACTGGCAACAGAGCAGAGAAATAGATGCATGTAACAGAATAGAGAGACCCAAGTGAATGTAACTGCTGTGGTGTGAATGCCCTCTCTAAAACTCTTGTTGAAATTTGATTACCATTTTCACAGTGTTAAAAGGTGGGCCTTTGATAGGTAACAATTAGGCCACGAGAGTGCCATCCTCATCAATGGATTAATGTCATTATTATTGTGGAAATGGGTCAGTTATTATGTGAGCAGCGGATTCTTGGTGAAAAAGTATGAATTTGACCCAATCTCCTCTCTCTGTCTCACAGGTACTTCCTTGCCCTTCCACTATGTTATGATGCAGCACAAAGGTCCTAGCCAGATGCTGGAGCCATGCTCTTGGGCTTCCCAGACTCTAGAACTGTGAGCCAAATGAACTAAATTTTTTTAAATTACACAGTCATTTGGATTCTGTTATAGCAGCAGAAAATGAATTAAGATGATAGTCAGCTGATCTTTGACAATAGAACAAAGGCAATGATGACAAGAGAGTTTTTTCAATAAATGGTGCTGGAACAACTCCATATCCATTTGCAAAAGAATGAGTCTAGAAAAAGATTTTATAATCCTTCACAGAAATTAACACAACATGGATCACAGATCTAAATGTAAAACGTAAAACTCCTAGGAGATAACACAGAAGAAAATCTAAATGGTCTGGTGTTTGGTGATAACAGAGGCACAATTTATGAAAAAATTGATAAGGTGAACTTCTTAAAATTAAAAACTTCAGCTCTACAAGAAACTCGATGGAGAGAATTCAAAAATAAGTCACAGACTTAGAGAAAATATTTGCAAAAGATATATCTGATGAAAGACTACTTAATAAAATATACATAGAATCCTTAAAAATCAACAATAACAAAACAAACAACAGGACTTCAACATGAGCTAAAGACCTTAACAGATGAGACACCTCACTAAAGAAGATGGCAAAAAAAAAAAAAAACAGATGAAAAGATGCTCTACTTAGGTCATTATGTAAATGAAGGAAGTACTTCCACATACCTATTAGAATGACCAAAATCTAGAACACTAATAATGCCAAGTACTAGTGAGGATTTGGAGCAATAGGAACTCTCATTTATTGCTGGTAGGATAAAAAAAAAATGTCAAAACCACTTTGGAAGACAGTTTTGTGGTGGTTTCTTACAAAACTAAACATTCTTACCATACCATACAGCAATTGCATTCCTTGGTATCCACCCAAAGAAGCTGAAAACGTATTCAAACAAAAAAAACCAATAAAACTACATATGGTTGTTTACTGCGCAGCTTTATTCATAAGATCCACAATTTGGAAACAACCAAGATGACCTCCATAGGGAGATTGATGAACTGTGGTTCATCTAGGAAATGGAGTCTTATTCAGCCACAAAAAGAAACGGTCTGTCAAACTGGAAAAGAGATGGAGGAAACTTAGTGATGTATTACTTAGCGAAAGAAGCCAATCTAAAAAGACTATAAACACTGTTGCAACTACATGGTCTTCTGCAAAACGCAAAACAATAAAAGGAGGAAAAATAAAAGCAGTGGGTGCCAGGGTTAGGGGTGTAGTGAAAGAACAGGTGGAGCATGGAGGATTTTGCAGGAAGAGAAACTACTTTGTATAAAACTGTGATGGTGAATACATGTCACAATACAATTATCCAAATCTATACAATATACAAAACCAGAAATGAATCCTAATGCAAACTATGAACTTTGGGAGATACTGTTCAATAAAAGCTACCAATATAGAGACAAAGGAAAATTCATGGTTGCCTGGAGCTAATGATGAAAGTTGAGGCTGAATGCAAAAGGGCACAAGAGGTCTCATTAAAATCATGGAAATGTTTTAAAACTGCCTTTTGGTCATACAACTAGGTACTCAAAATGGATTGAATTATCTCCTTAAAATGGGTTAATGTTATTGTATGCAAATTTTGTTTTATAAAAACAAAGGTTTTTTAAAAAGATTTAATGGTCCGGAGAGACCAGAAGAGTAGTACCTACAGAATCTAAAGCCTTAAATCCATGGGTCTACTGTAGTAAAATTTTAGCTGCTGTTAATTTTTCAGTATTTATCTTTTATGTATTACTTATGGTAAGTTTCTAGAAGGCTGGATAATGTCTTAAACATTTATATCTCAACTCCCATAGTGCTTGGTATAGTTTTCACACATTGCTTAAGCTCTTTAAAGTTTGGGTCATTCTGTAACTTAAAGTAAGGCTTATGGTCTCTTCTTTCATTTAAATGCAATTAGAAAACATGTGTTACTCTTCTAATGGAGTACATTAATCTTCTTATCTCCTTTATTTCAATACTGGGGATAAATATAAAATATCATTATGCATATTTTTGATAAAACCTTAATAAATGTCAAGTCAAATTGGTGTCTATTTTTTTAACAGAAAATATTATTTTCAATTAAATTGAGAGATAGCAACAATTTAGTTCTTTATGAGTTATTGAAAACCCACGTCTTGTCAGGCGCGGTGGCACATGCCTGTAAACTCAGCAGCTTGGGAGGCTTAGGCAAGAGGACCACAAGGTAGAGGCTATCCTTAGCAACTTAGCAAGGCTCCAAGTGAGTTAGTGAGATCCTGCCTTAAAAACAAAAAATAAAAATAACCAATATGATTAAACAACATGTACACTCGGAAAAATGAGAAATTATATCCCATCTATGTATGATATATCAAAGTGCATAAATGCATTCTACTGTCATGTATAACTAATTAAAACAAATCTAAAAATTAAAAAGGTCAAAAAATAAAAAAGGGCTAGGAATGTGGCTCAGTGGTTAAGAACCCCTGGGTTTAATTCCTCCTTCAAAAAACTCCCACAAGACAAAAAAACAAACCTAGGTCTTCTTTTTTAAGCAGGGCAACAGTCAAGATCCCAAACAATTTTGGAAATATCTCCAGAACTCATTCAAAAATCACTAGAATATGTGGACTTAAGTCAATATGTACGGTAAGTTTTAATAAACATTATTAATGCAGACAACTTTGTTATAGAATTTTGGATACATTGCCAATGGGCAGTTGTTAAGCAACTGAAACTTTGAAATTAAATGTTATTAGTAATTTAAAAAAATTTTTAGAACTATGTGGTTTTTCATATCAACTTTGGCAATCATTTTATGAATTCAATCACTAATGCATTTAAATGCTTTTTTGTAAAAACTTTAATTTGAGGCCAGATTAAGTCAAATTGAGCTACAGAAAATTCCCATCATACCTGCCACTATTATTCAATTACAGATTCAGTTTTCTTAAGAACCAGATAATCAGATTAATGGAGAGACAGTAACTCATGCATATTTGTAAATTTGGAAATATTAAAATTATTTAACTACATAAGCTCAAAAGAGGGAAAATCTACAAAATATTCATGTAGTTTTAAACAGTTCCACAATCACACATCAAATGATATATCCAAATTTACTGACATTTTCCAAAATATTTTCCTGAAATATCAGTGCTTCAGTAAATGGAGCATTTAAAAATTAATAGTTTATTTTTTTCTATCCCTAATGTTTGATTTGATTCAGACCACCACATTCTTGACACAATTTTAACTTATTTTTGAGTTTTAAAGTAAAGTGTCTTCTACAGTGCCCGAAAGACATGGATTTGTTTTGTTGATTTTACATCAAGGAAAACAAATGATGAGGCTATGCTGCAAACAGAGGAGCTGAATCAGCTGCAAACAATGCAAAAGGCAGAAGAAATTCATCAGTTTCGGCAATACAGGAACAGAATGCTTAGTATTAGAGACGTAGATCAGGAAGAGCGGACTAAGTTAAAGGATGAAGTCTTGGACATGTATGGAGAAATGCGGGTGAGTTTCATGGGGAGCCGAATTAAGTATGTTAAAAGCAGAAGGGCGAAGTGAGCAGAGAGGTGGGGGAAACAGATAAGAGGGAAGTGGTCCTATGGTTATGTGGAGTGCTAGGGGTCATACGCCTGTGCACACATGGATCCCAGCTGACCCTCCTTTTGTAATATTCAAAAGCAATCAGAATCACATAATAACTGGGCTGGGGATGTAACTCAGTTTGTTGAATGCTTGCCTTGCATGCACAAAGCCCTGGGTTCAATCCCCAGCACCACACACACACACACACACACAAAGAATCATACAATAACTGAATAGAAGGAAGTCTGACCCCTTCTCACTGTGTCTGTCCCCACCACCCTAGTCCAAACCATCATTGCTATCCATTCAGAGTCTGCTACGGTCCCCTATCTGGTATCCCTGCTTCATCTTTGCCATCTCTAGGATGTGTTCTATGATCAGCAGTTGCTGATCCATTGTATATCATAATCAATTGATTATCTGATAATCTGTTACCTATGGTAACAAAACTCTCAACATGTCAGTGGTTTAACACAGGATTTGGTAAACACATTCCCTGTAAAGACCCAGACAGTAAACATTTTTTATAAATCAAAGGTAATACTTACATGAATGGGATCACCTATAAATAAAAGCAACTTTACTTAGAAAAACAAATTTTATTCTGTTTGTTCCCCAGGCTTTAGTTTACCAACCCTGGCATAAAACAATAAAAGTGCACATCATGTGTTACTATTGCTCCACAGAAATGACACGTTATTTCCATTCACATTTTATTAATTAAAGGAAGTCCCATTGTGGTACACAGCTTCAAAGAAGGAACCAATCCTAATGGTAGCTGGATTTTGAAATTCTAGCATCAAGAACTGTGAGACACTAAGTTTCTGTTGTTCAAGCTATTCACCTTGTACTTTGTTATAGAAGCTCTAGAAAATCAGTACAGAAGTCAATACTACCAAGTACCTGGAAGAAAACTGGATGGTTTTGGCAAAGTATTTTTAAAATGGAGGTAGGCAAAACACAGACTTATGACCCCTAGAGCTCCACATAGCCATAGCCCAGGTCCCTCTTATCTTTCTGCTCTTACCATACTGAATTCGGCTTTCCACGCACAAGCCCCTCTGGGCCTTTGAACTTAACTACTTCTCCCTAGAAGGACTTTTCCCCAGAGAGCCAAATGGTTTACGTCTTCATTTTATGATCTGTCTTATCTATTACCACTTCATTAAAGGGACCTCACTAGGTACCCTTTCAAAATTAGCATTCTCAAAATTTGCATATTAACTGGGACAACTTTGAATTCAGACCCCATTCATTAAAGTGTAAGGTGCAAAATAAACACCCTAGTTTTGAGTGGAGCCATTTTAAGAGAAACATGATAGTAACATATTTCTTATCAAACAGGAGAAAACATGCCAATTATCAAGAGAATACTGACACAGATTAAATTTACTTTACACAAAACCTTAGTATGTCTCCCCACCCCCATTCTTGCTCTCTCTGTATATCATATGTCAAGGCTATCATCTTGTCTTTGGGCATTTGGCTTAGGGAATCCAATTTTATGATGGATGGTAGAGGCAGTACTTTCATCAGGCGCTTTGGGAAGTCTGTTCTGACAAGCAATTGGTCCCTATATCTTGACAAAATTGTACCCGTTGCAGAAACATAGAAAATTTCTTGAACAATTCAGAATGAAGAAAAGAGCAGGAATCTCTAGAAGGTTCTCTTGAGGCTAGTATCAGTTCATCAGTCCTTATTCTTTTATTACATCAGTTTTGGAATTGTAACGAACAGCATGACCACTTCCTCACTAAGAGATCAAGGAGAAATCAGCAAAGGTGACTGAAAAGCAGCTAGTAAGACAAAAGAAAGGTGAAGTGTGATGTCCTGAAAGCCAAGGGCAATCAGTTCATCCGGGAGGACAGCGTGTGGTTAAATATGAACAAAAGCAATAAAACACTCCTGCATTTAGCGGCCTGTTGGTGACCAGTGTCCTTGAGAAATGCAGTTTTGTAGAATGATGTGAGTAAAAGCCAACAAAGAAAATAAACTGTGGTATTTTTTGGAAGTTCTTCAAGTACAGCTCAGATACATGTTGTGAGAGCTAGAATACATGGGGGAATTAGCCATCTACTGAGCACAGTCACTCTATGAGCAACACTGGGCTGTTTTATATAGATATTACCTCAACTCATTTAAAGCAAATGGTTTCTTTACTAAAAATCCCTACATACTTTCTTTCTTTACCTTTCTCTTTATTTTTCTCCTACCAAAGCTTTTATTTATTATTTTGTTAAAATCTTATATTGCTGTCTCATGTTTGTTTATTGATAAACCTTGAAACCATGATTTTCATCTTCAATAATTTTCCTCAACCTTCTGTTGGCCTAAGGAAGGATAAAGGTATTATACTCCTCTCCCCCACTTTGGCAATAAACCTTTATAAGTGGGACTGATTTGTTTGAGGCCTTATTTTGGAACAGGACTCCTTAGATGAAGCCAGACAGAAGATCTTCACCATCCGGGAGGAGTACAGAAACAAGTTGCTGGAAGCTGAGCACCTAAGATTGGAAGCTTTGGCTGCTCAGGAGGCAGCAATGCGGGCGGAGTCAGAGAAGAAGACCCCAGCTCCTGACACAAAGGGGAAGAAAGGAAAGAAGAAGTAACCAGGAGGTGCCCAGAACCACCCTTTTTCTGTAGAGAAGAAATATATCTAGTGATCTAGGACTTTGCCTGTTGATAAAGTATCAGGGTAATTGAAAATAGAAATTTCCCTATCTTACAAATTGTTCCTAATGTTAATGCGTTGGTATTAAAGTTAGTATTTGAATTGTTAGAGCTTAAAATGTTCTGATTCAGTAAATTGCTAACAAATCTGTAGATTGTAATAATATTCTATATATCTCATTCTGAATTGCCTACATTTCAAATTAGTAGTAAAACAAGATCAATCATAAATGAGTCAAGAGGACTATCTTTGAAAAATTCAACAATGAGAAAAAGAGCTATTGTCCTTAGAAGAAATTTTGTCTCCAATGTTAAGGATTTTAAAATATTAATAAATGTGTAATCAGAATTGTGCCTGTTTTCTTTTTGTTGTTGTTCATTTGTTTGTTAGGTTTTTTTTTAGTCAAATTTCAATAAATCTCCTTCATTGTGCAAAAACTAAAGTGGTTCAGTCCACCCAGAATGTTGGTTAGGACTAGAAGCCTAACAAAAGTATGGTGACCCTGCACAAAGAATGTGGTTGCAAACAATCTTTCACCTATCAGAATCATACTTGTGTAAGGCAGAGAATAAAGCCTAATATACCAGCTTAAGAAAAATACAATTAGTGATTTAACTGAGGAACACAGTAGGGAATTGACTTTCTCAGGAAGCATCTTTCTAACTCACGACAGTCTCAGATGAAAACTACTGTAGTATTTTTTTTTTAAATATTTATGTTTTAGTTATAGGTGGACATAATATCATTTTATTTTTATGTGGTGCTGAAGATTGAACCTAGTGCCTCATGCATGCTAGGTGAGCACTCCACCTCTTGAGCCACAACCCCAGCCCCACCATAGTACTTTTTAATTAGTTCTTTTTAGTTATATATGACAATAGAATTCATATTGACACAATTATGAAAGCATGGAATATAATTTGTTCTAATTCAGTCCCCAGTGCCGCAGTCTGGCTGGGCACAAATCACAAGCCACTGAAGCAAGAACAAACTTTATTTTTGAACTGCAGGAAAACACTTCACACAGCCCCCTCCCGAACGCCAGGCAGCTGGTCCAGGAAACCCCCAGCCGGAAATATCTCTCCCGGAAAATCCCTCCTCCTGCACTTCCCCAACCAATGGGAACTCTCGGGGAATCCCCGGAAATCCCCACGAGAACTCCAAAATAGTGCGAGAACTCAAAAGTTGCGGCAGAGGCGGATAGTAATGCCTCGCCTGTCAATCAATACTGTTGGCAAAATGCCAGGGACCATACAGACTCTGCCGTGGCTCTCAGCACCCCAGTACTTTCCCTTTCCCTCTCCTCCTCCCTCCCCATCCCCTTCCCTCTACTCTACTGATCTTTATCTATTTACATATATATATAATTACATATATAAATATACATATAATTTTTAATATCTGTCTTGTGGATGTATGTGATAGTGAGATTCACTGTGGTATTTTCTTTTATGTACCTAGGAAAGTCCAATAATATTCATTTCACTGTCTTTCCCTATCCCATTTTCCTCCTTTTTCTTCATTCCCCTTTGTCTACTGCAGTGATTTTTCTTGTATTCTTTTTTTTATCCCTCCACCTCCTTATTTTAAAATTAACTTTCACATATCAGAGAAGACATTTGACCTTTGGTTTTTGCAACTGGCTTATTTTACTTAGTATGATATTCTCCAGTTCCATCCATTTATTTGCAAATGTAATAAAGTCTTCTTCTTTATGGCTGAGCAATAAACCATTGTGTATATATATCACATTTTTAATCCATTCATCTATTGAAAGGCATGTAGTTTGGCTCCATAGTTTGGCTATTGTGAACAGTGCTGCTATAAACATTAATATGACTGTGTCACTGTAGTATACTGATTTTAACTCCTTTGGATATATTCCAAGGAGTCAGAAAACTGGGTCAAATGATGGTTGCATTTCTCATGTTTTGAGGAATCTCCATACTACTTTTCAGAGTGGTTTTTCCAATTTGCAGTCTCACCAACAATGTATGAGTGAATCCTTTTTTTCACATCCTTGTAACATTTATTGTTACTTGTATTCTTAATAATTGTCATTCTGACTGGAGTGAGATGGAATCTCAGTGTAGTTTTAATTTGCCTTTCTCTAATTGTTAGAGGTATTGGACATTTTTTCATATTTTGTTGACTTTTTCTTTTTCTTTTTTCTTTTGTTTTAAGAAGTGTCTGTTTAGTTCCTTTGCCATTTAGTTATTGGGTTGTTTGCTTTTGGTGTTATTTTTGGCACCTTTGGATATATAAAGATGCCCAAAATAACATCTTTTCATGTACTTAGGACATAAAAAGATTTTTCTCCCATTCTGTGGGCTCTCTTTTCATGCTCTTAATTGTTTTCTTTGCTGTGAAGAAGCTTTTTAATTTGATGCCATCCCACTTATTGATTCTCAATTTTACTTTTTGAGCTTTAGGAATCTTATTAAGGAAGTCAGTTCCTGGGTCAGCTTGTTGGAATGTTGGGCCTACTGTGGCAGTTGCAGGGTTTCTGATCTAATTCCTAGGTTTTTGAACTACTTTGCATGAGTTTGTGCAGGGTGAGAGAAAGGGGTTAAATTTCATTCTACTAGATATGAATTTCTGATTTAACCAGCAAAATTTGTTTAAAGAGCTACCTTTTTTTCAATGTGTTTTTGGTACTTTTGTCTAGTTAATATACCTATATTTATGTGGGTTTGTCTCTGTGTCTTCTCTATTCTATTCCCTCAGTCTTCATGTCAGTTTTGGTGCCAATACCATGCTGATTTTGTTACTATAGTTCTGTAGTATAATTTGAAATCTGCACTGTGATGCCTCTTGCTTTGGCTATGCTGGGTCTCTCTCTCTCTCTCTCTCTCTCTCTCTCTCTCTTTTCAAATGAGTTTCATAACTGTTTTTTTCTATTTCTATAAAGAATGTCATTAAAATTTTGATGGGGATTGTATTCTATATGCATAGTACTTTTGGTAGTATGGTCATTTAAACAATATTAAATCTGCCTATCCAAGGACATGGGAGGTCTTTTCATCTTCTAATGTCTTCTTCAATTCTTTCTTTAGTGTCTTGTAATTTTCATTGTAGAGGTCCTTCACAAACTCTTATTGTTAGATTATTCACAAGTATGTTTTATTTTATTTACTTTATTTTGATGCTATTGAGAATGGGATAGTTTTCCTAATTTTTTTTCAGCAGATTCTTCATTGGAGTATAGGAATGCAGTTGATTTAGGGGTGTTGATTTTGTATCATGCTATTTTGTTGAAATCATTTTAAGCTCTGGAAATCTATTGTTAAAGTTTATTTTTGAAGTCTTTTAGGATCATGTCATAAGCAAACAAAGGTAATTTAAGCTCTTCTTTTCCAATTGTATCCCTTTAATTTCTTTCTCTTGACTAATTGCTGTGGCTAGAGTTTCAAGGACTGTGTTCAATAGGAGTGGTGAAATTGGGCATACTTGTCTTCTTCCTATTTTTAAAGTAAATGCTTTCATTTTGTTCTCCCTTCAAAATATTGTTGGCCTTGGTTTGTTGTAAATAGCCTTTATAATGTTGAAGTAAGTTCTTTCAATCCCTAGTTTTTTTAGTGCTTTAAACATGAATTGGTGCTGTACTTTGTTTAATACTTTCTCTGCATCTATTGAGAAAATCATGTGATTTTTGTCTTTAAGTGTATTTATGTGGTGAATTACATTTATTGATTTCTGTATCAATAAATGAACTAATCTTTTGTCCCTAGGATGAATCCCACGTGGTCACAGTACACTGTCTTTTTAATGTGTTTTTTATATGCATGATGCCAATATTTTATTAAGAATTTTGGCATCTATATTCATCTAGGATATTGGTCTGAAGTTTTTTTTTCCTTGGTAGTCTTTGACTAGTTTTGGTACCAGGATGATGCTGGCTGCGTTGAGTTACTTTAGCAGTGTTCTCTCCTTTTCTGTATCATGGAATAACTTGAGGAGGATTAGTATTAGTTCTTCTTTAAAGTACACACTTTTTTACAGGTGGTCTGTAATCATGACTCAAATATTTTGAATGGGATTGCCATGTATGACACATTTTGAAATCTGGTTTACTGAGTAAATTCCCAAGGACAATATTATATACACTGTCCTTTTCGTACATAATTATTTAAATCCTCAAATATTCCATGAACATTAAAAGTTTAAAAAATTACTTTGGTTTTATATATCTTAAAAAGTTAGGTTCTGGGGTTATTAACTGTTTTTCAAAAACAAGTGGTGGGCCATTCAAATCATATAAAAGGTAAGATAATTCTTTTGGGCATGTGACTATCTCAAAAATTGCAGGATGTCTAATATCCTTGCCTTCTACCACTACATTAGCAGTGGTTCTTCTTCATTATTGAGATAGCTAAAAATTTCTCCACATATGTTCTAAAATAACATTCCCTAGACGATGTCTTGTTCGCACTGAGCACGATCTCCATGAGTAAGAAGAGTAGAGATTGTTGAAAAGCTAAGGTAGTAAAGTCTGTGGATCACAGTAAATGACTGGTGGGATACATTTTCATATAATACTTTCCCTTGGGTTCATTAAGTGAAGTAGGGTATATCTGTAAAGAATGTCACAGTGCCTCAATCCCTTTGGCCATTGACAAAGGGTCAGACCTATCTCTCCATTTACTCTTCTGTAGCCCCTTACTACCTACAGTATCTATATTACCTCTTAATAGCCTCCCTAATATTTCAAGGTCAATCTCTCCTTCCTCTGTAGCTCTTATAAGGGCAGAAACAAACAAACAAACAAACAAACAAGAACAACACAACAACAACAACAACAAAAAACAGTGTTTCTCTTCTGTGGTCACAGGACTGTTTCTGAGATAATAGCAATCATCCTCAGGGTGCAACTCTAAGATAATGAAGTATCTATCATTACACAGAGGGATTCCACTACTCATTGCCTCCACCAAAGTACAGGATTATAGTTCGCCCTTTACATAACAACAGTGTCCACTAAAGTGTTGTTTGAAATGTAATAGTCTTCATTTAAATGAATCTGGAAACTGCTGATAGTTTAATTAACTCTCAACTGGCTTCTAGGTATTGAATTTTTCAAAACAAAACAAAAGTTAAATTCTAGTCTCAGAGCCCCACACATATAATTTACTTACACACAAGCAAAGGCGGCACAATAATCTGTTATGATAGCCAGGATCTACCTTGTATCCTCCTCACATTCCAAACAAACCACTGCAGCCATTGCTTCCTGGAAAATAGGAAAATAAAAAGAGAAATGGCAAGAAGA